CCCGGAAGTGACAACATGGCGCGGCAGACCTCTCCTGACCCACCTGCTGCTCCCCTCAGCAGTGTGCTTCGTTGATCTGCCTGTTCTACTCCCCACTCTTTCTCTGCGAAGCCTCTCACCGCCCCAGAGCCTCTGGCCTGTACCCCAGTTCCGTATGCACAAATAAATAAATCTCTAAAAAAAAAAAAAAAAAAAAAAAAAAAAGGAGGAGTTTGAATGTGATTGTGTGATTGTCAATTTTATATAGATTTAAGATGTCCCACAATAAAAAAGCTTTCAAAGGGGAGGATGGGGGCAGACATGGGCACAACCTGAACCCAACCTGGGGAGTAACTGTTCTTTACTCTTTTACTCTCCACGCAGTATCAGGACACAGGGAGTTCACACACTCCCTAACTAGAGATGGGCGCTCCTGAGTCCCACATTCAGTGTCCTCAACCTTGAAAATTCTCAGGAACTTTACAAAATTATTCTGGCAGTACCCAGCTTTCCTTCTCAGCCTGTAAGCCCTCCATAAATTACCCTACAGCCTCATCCCACTACAAGAGCCTCCACTTCCTGTTCCAAACTATTGTGTTGAGCAACCCAGTTATTGAAATAGCTCCTGGGTGGCAGACAAATGTCTGTTCCTGTTGCTTGTCTAGTTGGTTCTCCCTCCTGGGTAGCAGAAGGGAGGGCACTGTTTTCACTTTCAAGGAGTCAAGGCACATTTCATATATCCTTCTTCCTCCTCTTCTCTTTAACCTCAATTTGTTCCTAAAAAGAAAAATGATTATCTCTACAAGAAGACTCAACTTCAGTACTAGTCACATGCTGGGCTGAAAATTTCTTTGGGGGTAGGTCCGGGCTGGGGGTGCAGGGTCCCCTATGTATTACAGAATGGTCTACACCAGCAGCACATTCTCTACCCCTAGTTGCGACAACCAAAAATGCCCCAGCCGTTGTCAAATGTTTTGTGGGGGAACACTATCACCCTGGTTTCAAACCACTGGCCTGAAGATGTGGTAAAACCAATATCAATACTGAGATTGAGATTACACCATTTATTTTTGCATACACTATTAGACAACATGTCTCAATTTATAAACTTGTAAACACAAACACTTAAGACATATTGCATCCTAAGCCAGAAATACATCAAGTAATGAAAAAAATAAATGTATAACACTGGCAGCTATTTTCTTCTACCTTTGCAGTTTCCTAAATAAATCATTTTTCCCCCAAATTATCCCAAGTCCCTATCAAGATGGTAATTATTTCACCCCAAGCTCTCTTCGAGGTTCACACAAGCTCTGTCAGAAGAAACAGTCCTATTGACTCTCCATGAAGGGTGCTGGCTCTCCTGTGTGTAGGAAACAGGTATCACTAGAGAGCAGAATACCCCAAAAAACTTCCCAAACAAATCAAAGAAAAAACATCACCAAGGTGTCCTCCTGATACAACCCCAAGACAGTTACACTCAAACTCCTGCTCTACCAGGCACACGAAACCCTACTGCCAAGGTCACCTTCAAGACCTGGAGTCCGAAAGATGCTGTCAGCCAGGCTCCACTGTGCTCCCACCCCCTCAGCTCTAAGGCAGAAATGATAAACACCAGATCCCAACCTGACCGAGAAGTGCAGCTCAAGGTTAAATGAGCCCATGTAAGAGATTGCAACACCCAAGGGGAAAAACTGTTATTTCTTCATTAAGCAGGGGGAATTTCCCACTATATTTAAACAGTACACGCCCTTCTTGAGAAGAAAGAAAATCTGTTTTCCCATCTGCAGAGGCCTTCTATTAGCTACAGTGCACCACACAAGTTTGGGGAGCACACTCACAAAAATGTCTCCCGCCCCCCAACTCCACCAGACTTTCAACTCCACAGTATCCTCAGTGTCACCCAGGGAGACACTGCCTCACTCTTGCTGATGCTGTTGCCAGGGAGGCGTGGGGTGAAGGGGATTCTGTCCTCTGAAGTTCATTCCTTCCTCTACAACCCATGCTACTTCCTGTCCTGGTCTGGATCATCTCAACCTTAAGTTCTAGCCAACGCCTCCTAATGGTCTCCGTGGATTAATGCTTCCCCTCTAATCCAGCTTTCATATCTATGATGATCTTTCAAAACCATCAGACCGGCCAAGAATCATTCTGCAGTTTCCAATCCCTACCACCAGACACAATCCCAGCAACTTGGTGCACAGATTTGTGAAGCCTATCAAATGTTTGACCCAGGAGATGGCCAAGTAAGAACAGGTGAGCTCTGAGTGGGGCAGGTGCTCACATGTGAGGGACTTATCCTGGATGAATGGTGGAGGGAGGAAAAGAAGGAGGCTATTAAACTCAGTGACCTTGAAACTTCCTTTCAAATATGGCTTGCCATGATTCTGAGGGCTCCTAGTTCTGCTATCAGGTCCTGTCATTCTCTGACTACAGGCCTCCTGCAAAGTGATGTCAAAAGGTCCTCCACAAATGTGCCTACATAGTCTTGTGCATCTGTGGGATGTATTCTTTTCTGGTTGTCTTTTAGTTTTGTAAACACAAAGGAACAATGCTGGTAGTAACAGCATAACACTGAAGTGCTGAAGATGAAGTCTCTCAGCCACTGCACTGCACTCCCATGGCAGCTGCCCTCTGGTCCTTCTCCAGGACTCTCTCTTTCTCTCACACAGACACACATACACACATATGACACCTGATCTTAGCCTGTGCCTTACGGAGGATTTTCGGTGAGAGGACTGCCTCATCTCTCCAGCTCCCCAGGAGTTAAGACTAGTTAGTTAGTCTGCTTCTACTGCTGTTATTCCACCAGGAATGGAATATCAAGAGATGAAGGAAATGGAAGACAAGAGATCAGGTATCTCACTCAAAATAACAGATTAGCTGGAGCAGAGCTAAAACCAGAACAAGAACTCTTTACCCAGAGTTTGTATATCCACTGGAAAGCACTGTATTCCTCCCCACAGTGCAGCATGCCATGCTGTTCAGACAGCAAGCAGAAATAAAAATACCTGTTGAAAGAATAAACTGCAGAGGCAAGACAGCGCAGTGGTTAACGACTTGGACTCAGACCTCAGGTTGCCTAGGTTAGAATCTGGCTGTCATTCACTTCACTCTGCAACCTGGGCCAAGCAATCTGGCCTCCATTTCATTATCTGAAACATGAGGTAGTAATAGTACTTTCTTTACAGAGTTGTTGTGAGAAGTAGATAACTCAATATCTGCAAACCAGGGTCTGGTACATATACTAGTAAAAGCATAATCATCTCTATAACACCCACAATACAATAAACTTGGGTTGGGAAATCAGAACTAAATCTCATTAGTTCTGAACTCTATACCAAAAAAAAAAAAAATCAGCATGGGGGAAAATGCATAGGACATTAGTCCAAAAAAATATTTAAGTGACACAGTGACTGAATCCATTGCTACAGAGAATGACCTCATAATGACCTCATAGATCAAAAGCATTGTAACACCTACTGCACCAAAGAATAATAAAAAACCTTAACAGCCTCTAGCAGTAATTATCCAAGTAAAGTGGGCTGCAAATCTGTTGGAGAATTGTTTTTGCCGTGATCATATTTCTAGTAAATTGCTGCTTCTATACTAAAAGTACTGGTGTTGCAGAACTGGCATACTAATAGAAAGATTATTATAGAAACACTATTAAAATGAATTAGATATTATTAAAGATTCAACACTACAACAGCGCCTGATTACAAGAGATTTCAAGCTGTATTCTTAATGGGCAGATAAAAGTGCTAATTAAGCCCACTCTTAGAGGATGTCCCTAGGCAGGTCTGTAAACCACAGGTAGCAAGAGGGTTACAGTGTAAATGAGGAGCCAGTAATGCTAGCCCAGTTGGGTACATCCTACCAGGAAAACTGAAAAGAACAGGAAGAAGCAAGGTTTTCTGCTGGTAAAGCAGACAATACCCAAATACCCAAACTTCTTTGGACCTTTTTTTTCCTTCACTGCTTCATCAGCAACACTTCTAATTCTTCTTTTGCTTATATGAAGAAAACCAAATAACCCACCATAGATTGGTGACTCTCAAAAAAGACAGCATAAGTAGGGACAAACAGAGAAAACCTTACCATCATTGCCAAAGCCTTCTGTAGCAATATGAAGACAAGGAATTGCTCTCCCGGCGGCACACTGGCCAAAAAGCTTCTCTCCAGCAAAAGCCTAAATAAAGCTCTCAGTGTTTCTTGAAGAGTTGTTAGACTAAAGGTATTAGCCATGCGTCTCAGGATCTATTTTGCTTTCCCACCTTGTTAATTAACTAATCGGGAACGGCAAAGCACCTCACAAATACAAAGTGTCAGGGAAATGCAAAGTAAATGCCCATACCTGGTCTAAATATCAATGCTAAATTAGGAGAAGAGAAAAACCGAGGCTAAGCTGTCCCCAGATTGCAGCAATCCCGCGGCCAGGGCACGCTAACGCAGAGGCAGAGACCCACGCGCCCTGCAGCAGCCTCCGACCCGGGAGGAGGGCTCTCGGCAGGACTTCTGGAAGGGAAACCTGGACCTGGGCCACCCCGGGGCAAAGGGAACGCCGCCTGAGAGACGCATCCTCCCTGCTCAGCCTCCATCTCCCGGTCATCTCCCTCCGATGTCAACAAACCCGAAGCACAAAGTGAAACTTTCTGGGGCCCGGGTTGTCGCGCAGGGTCTCTGCTCTCCGCCCGGGAGCGCGTCGCGGGGACAGGTGTGAGGCCGGGGTTGGGGAGGAGACCCGCGCCCAGCCCGGGCGGTTGTGTAATCCGCCCGGGAGCCGGTACTCAGAACCACCCCCACGCCGGGATGCGGAGACGCGGCCCGCAGACCCCAGCTACAGGCTCGGCGCCCGGAGGTGTGGGAGGGGGGATGGGGTTGACTGTCGTCCCGCCCCCCGAGACCGCCTGAGGGAGCCAGGGGAGCCGCGGCGCTGACACAGCCCGGAGGGGGCGCCCGCGCGGCGGACCGATGCCCAGGAGGGGGATGTGATGGCTCGGCACCACTGCCGGCCTTACCTGCGCACCGGGCCGGAACGGCGGGGGGCAGTTCGGGATGCCGGGGTAGCGGACGACAGGCGGCAGCGCTGGCAGCCACCCCGGCCACTGCATGTGAGGAACCGCCGCGGCGGCAGCAGCGGGCGCGGGACTGACAGCCCCAGGCCCCGCCTCCAAGGTCCAGGCCCCGCCCCCTCCGTGGCCGCCCTGCTGGCCCCGCCTCCTCCACCCACCGCCGGGGTCAAGCTCGGTCCACCGGCTCGGAGGGCGGGGGCGCTCGCTTCCGATTGGTCTGAACGCTACCCGCCCCGCCCACTCCCCCGCCCCCTCCTTGGCAGAGAAGTGGCGCCTGCGCAGTGGTTGCCGAGGGCGGCGTGTTGGGCTGAGCGCTGGCGTATTTGGTCCCCGGCCACCGGTACCCAGCAGTCTTACTTATCCCGGACGGAGAGAACCTCCTGGATGACTTGAGGAAGCGAGAATCAGAATCTAACTCCACGATGAATTGTCTCGACTCACCTCTGAACGAATCTAAGGAAGGAAACTAAGCTAGGCCAGGCTCTAACCAGAGAAGATCCTAAAAATAAGAACAAGAGCCACCCACCAGGACCATCTGCGACGGGGCTAGGGGATGCTTAGGCTACACGCGGGATCCGCTCCTGGGTCAGCAGGTGTGGCGTGTGCAGGTTCTAGTGGTTATGAAGTCAGGCTTAGGGCGCTGGAGGGAGCAAGAAGCTGAAGAACATGGTCCTTCCCTCCAGCCGCTCCTCCTGAGTGTCTCCCTCTTCTCCCTTGAGCTGGCCCCAAACCTGCAGTAAATAAATCAGGTCTCTCCCAGTCAGAGTCAGTTGAGACCCAACAATTGGAATCCGGAAGTATATACTCAAGGGAATTGGAAACAAGACTTACACTGAAGTTGGCAACATCCCCATAATGACCCAAAAGTGGGAATTTGGGGGATATCCATTGCTTGATGAATGGATCATCAAATTATGGTTTATCCGTACAATGGAATGTTATTGGGTCACAAAAAGGAATACAGTACAGCAGGTCCGTGAATGGTATTGTCTGTTCCTGTTTCATGATAGGGCTGATGAGAAAAGAAAAGTCTTGGCCAGTGTTCATGAAGCAACACTCTTTGAGGTCTGCTTTCGTTATGTTTCGCTTGCAGTCCTTTTTTCCAAGAACTTGTTGTGTTCCTTATGTGGGGACTTACTCCACTGTTACATGCTATAATATTTGATGAACATTTAAAGCTATATGAAAGAAGCAAAACACAAAAAGCTTATAATGTATAAGTCCATTTATATAAACTGTTCAGAATATAATGTGTAAGGCCTTTTAAATGAGCTGTCTAGAATAGGCAAGCCCATTGAAACAGAGGTAGATGTAGTGGTTGCCAGGGACTCAGGGAAAGAGAAAAGGAGGAGTAACTAACTGCTCATGGACATGGTATACTCCTTTCAGGGGTATGAAAATGTACTGGAATTAGAGGGCGATGGTTGTACATCTTGGTGATTATACTAAAAGCCACTAAATAAAATACTTTAAAAAAGTGAATTTTATGGTATGTGAATTATAGCTTAACCTCTATAAAAAAAATCAAACTACAAAGTAAAAGCCTAACACCCTAATGCTGTACCTCTGCCAGGGGCCATACAGTTTTCCAGCCCTTCTCATCCAAGATTCTTGCAAGGGTGACCTGCATGTTTTTTGGTTTGTTTGGTTTTGGGGTTTTTTTTTAAGATTTATTTATTTATTCATACAGAATTGGGGTGCAAGCCAGAGGTGTAGGGGTGGTGAGAGGCTTCACCAGAGACATAGGGGAGCAGAACAGGCAGATGGACAAAGTACACTGCTGAGGGGGGCAGCGGGCGGGTCAGGAGAGGTCTTCGGTGCCATTGGGGTCACCTCCAGCTGTGGCTCGCTTGCAGTACTGTGTCCTAACCGGTTGCGCCACCAGGGAGGGCCAGGCCTGCATGTTTTACCCCCACCTCCTCATCTCCCATTTAGGTTAGTTCCCTAGAATATGGCCTATGCTTACATCAGAGCACGTATCTGCTCTCTCCTGGAATCCTGTGAGGTTCTGTGGATCCTGGACATTCCTGGTTCTCTTCCTCCTCATCTCTACTCTTTCTGTTCTTTGACCTTCTTTTCCCTGGCAAGCCTATATTGGTGCTTTTCATTGCCCCTCCAAGACCCTTCCTAGGTCATATTGCCCACTTCCATGAGTTCAGTTACTGTACTTCAAATTTTAACATCTATATGATAAACCACACAGTTTTTCAAATTCAGTGTGTCCTAAGCAGTTTGTCACCTTCTCTTTCCCACCTCCCTCTGCCTCTCTCAGGTGGTGATATCTACACTGCATGCTAGGATTTGGGAGTCATCCTTGAGTCTCCCTTCTTCTAGAGTCAACCACCAATTTTTATCCCATAAATGTTCTTAAGTCCCAGAGTCTATTTTCACACAGCCACAGCCCTGTCCACACCCCATCATTTTGCCTTTTAAGTCCCTTCATCTTTTGTCCCCACAAATCTACCTTCCAAACCACTGCTGAAGGATCACCCATTGCTTTTGCTGACATAGCTGGCATTTATCTTTCTTATGAGACAAAACTCTGACTTTGCCTTAGGAATCCACCCTCCCTTACAAGACACAGGCTTTGGAAGCCTGTCAGTCAAGTTGCTGACTTTACCTGGCCCAGGCAAGGTGTGCCTTCAAGCCGAGTAATAGGACATCCTTCACCTGAAATTTGATTCCTAGACAGAGCAACATATAAACTGTAAGTAGTTGGACCTGATTGTTCCCAATCAAGGAGACTGCCAATCAGTTTTGCTATGTCTGTCCAAGAAACTCCTTTCAGAACCTGGATTCTGCAGCTTTTTCTTCAGCTTTTTAAATGATTCCATAGCTCTCTAAAATATTCTTTTTTGGAAATTAAATAGAGTTGCCTGCAACCATAGAAACTAACAGATACAGAAATATGTTTAAGACACAAACCATGTCTTCCCTTACTTAAAACTCTAGAGGCTTCTAGCTCCCAGAGGAGAGGCTCCACAGCTCTACCACCCAGCCCCTCCCTGCCTCCCATCCTTCCATCTTTTCTGCCCACTCCCTACCATACCCCATCTCTGCCCTTCTGAATTACTGGGAGTTCCATGGAAACTCACTCAGATGTCATGCCTCAGAGCTCATGAGTCTCCTCTGTGTAGAATACCCTTCCTGCTATGCCCCAGCTGACTTTAACATTCTCTGAAGAGTTCTCCTCCTTCAGAAAACCTTCCTGGGCTACTCTACCCCAACAATGTTCCTCCTTCTGTCTCAAAGCACCCAGCTCTATCACCCATTGTTGCACTTACCTTCATGACATTTTACTTACTCATTTGATTACCTGCCTCTCCCATTAAACTTGGAATTCCCAAAGGAAACTGGAGAATGCTTTCCTATATCGCAACAAAATACCTGGCAAAAGACAGATGCTATTCTTTTTGTTTCTAATTCCTGTATACCAGGGAAACCTCACTGGAGAACATTAACAAGCATTTTTCTGACATATATGGAAAAGAAAATCCAGGCTTCTCATACAGACTTCTCAAAAAAAAAAAAAACATTGCCAAGAACCTCAGTAACACAGTACATATTTAAATGATGTAATTCTCACTCTCAAACTATTCAATTTCTGTTGAGAGTCTTCATGAATTAATGAGATGCAAAGTTAAGTAACTCAGAAAACTCTACTCATTATTGTGACCAAAAGCAAGGTGTGTTTTTGTGTGCATTTGTCATAGTTAAAAATAAACTGAACATAGTTTATTTTTAAGCAAACCCATAGTTCCATTTGGGTTTCTATTGTGAAACATGCCTACTTTAAGTGCATTTGCAGATGCCCCCTGGGCCCAGGCCAGCTATGACCAACTGCCCTTGTCCACTTCAGCTAACCTCCCCAGAACCCACTCCTCTACTGTCCAGCCATCAGAACACTAAATTTCTTTGAGAAAGCACTTTTTTTCTCCATCACAACCTATGTGGTCTTGTTTAACCTGAGCTGTAGGAGTTGGGTCCGATTGACTTAGTAATCATTCCATTCCATCTCCCTGACCATAGAAATTAGTGTAAAGGCAGACATGAGACCCAGTCAAGACAATGAGATTGGACAGGACATTTTCAAGGACTTTCAACAGGAGAAGATTCCTCTCTTGGCTGCAGATCCCATTAGTGATGTAAGGTCTGGAATTAATGCAGGCTTGTGTGTGTGACCACAAGCATAGAGACCAGATTGCCAAGGAGTGAGAAAAGATCAACAGAAAAAATAGAATTGGGGGTACATTGTTGAGTAGTAAGCCTAGGTCAGACCACACTTACCCCCATACTTTCTAGTCACGTGAACCATACATGCCCACCATTGCTTCTTTTCTTTCTTTTTTTTTAAAGATTCATTTATCTGTGCATACAGAAGTGAGGTACAGGTTAGAAGTGCAGGAGGTGAGAGGGTGCACCAGAGACAGAGTGGGGAGCAGAATAGGCAGAACTGAAGGAGAACACTGCTTAGGAGAGGAGCGGGTGGGTCAGGAGAAGTCTGCCACGCCATGTAGGTCACCCCCTGGGTGAGGATCGAACTCAGGCTGAAGTGGCTTTAGCTTCTTAGTACTGTGTTTTAACCCACTGAGCCACCAGGGAGGGCCCTCACTTTTCTTTCTTAACGTAGTCCTACAGTAACATTCCATCTCTCTGGATATCCATTTTCTCATAAAGAAAGGCAACATGAATATTCTCTAATCTTCTAGTTTTCAGATCCTGCGTCTCTGAAGGGTAAATACACTCATACAAATATAAGAAGATTGCCATTTGCTCATAAGCCCCAAGAAAAGTAACCCCATTTTCACTGACCAAAGGTAGCTGAGATGAAAAATGCAAACAAAAGTCCTTAATCTTTGGCCAGTACTAGGAGTTACCCTGACTTTTTTCCTCTTTCCCTATACTTCAGCCACTCATTCTCTTTCTGATAATAGTTGGAGGAGAGGTGGTCTAGGAAGGAAGCAAATAAGGTCACCTGCTTTGGAAGACTTTGGATAATTTGGTGGTGGTGCCCAGGACCTTAGACCCCT